TTTTTTTTTTGCACTTTATACTTTTTTCTAGTTTTTTTCTGTGATCGGGTCTAGTTGGGTTTGTTGCGGTTGTATCCAATCGATTGGCGTAATGAAGTTTTGACCGATTGGGTTACCAAATGAGCGATTATTCCACTCCTCGCTCGAAGGAGACGGGCCGGCTATAAGGAGACCCCGTACTTCTCGGGTATTGACATAGGCCGGCAACAACAGGAGCCCTGACTTCTCAGGCAATGGCATAGGCCGGCAACAATAAGAGCCCTCACTTCTCAAGCATTGACATAGGCCGGGCCGGCAACAACAGGTAATATTGATGCTAGAGAAAGATCTCCTTTTGACGGAGCCTCGATGAACCGAACAATCTGATGGAACGCCAATGGCGTTGAAAAAGATTGTCCCTAACTCGACCGATGAATGTAATATATGCAAATAGGTTTTTTTTACAAATGTGTGTGTGCAAAGTTTTGTTTCCTTCTTTTTTTCCATTATTACATTTTTCTATAATGAGATCAGTGATAGTGCTTTATCAAAAAGGGTCCACGTGACGTCTCACGTGGGAGATGATGTCATAAAGCACGAGCATATAACTCTATGACTATTTTCATTTTTTGCGCGTTGTGTCCTATCCAGTTCTTCGCTTTCTCTGTTGTCTGCATCCTCTTTTTTTTCATTTTGTTGTTGTTTTTGTTGTTGTTTTTGTTTTCTTGACTTTCGAATTTTTTCTCAGAATTGCGTTTTGAATATTGTGAGTTGGAGTTCTCTTTGGACCTTTCGATGCACCGCGTTGGACTGAATTAGGCCGATGCACCATGTTTCGACGGCTCGGTGGTAGAATGCTCGATAGGATATTTATTTCAATATTTATTGGGTTAACAAGTCATAACTACAATTCGTACCATTATAAAGTCGAATATTCTGAGGATTGTGCAACCTTGTTCGCCTTGTTTCGGAATGCTGGTGGTGGGTCCGACAGGCGACAAGTTGGAGCGCTCAGCTTATTTCCTTCGAATTGCTGCACCGCACCGCTCTCGTTCAGTGTTCATTGGAAATGTCTGTCTTCCTTGCCATTGGGTTGTTGGAGAGCGGAGGGCGAGGAACTTGGAGTTGAGAGCAGTGCCGTTCGCGGCACTGCCCGATTTTGGAAGCGCCGACCCGTGGAGTTGCCGAACTGTCAGGAACTGCTTGTGAGAGCCGCCGGGAGCGGAGCCGCGAGCTCCGAGCCCGAGAACTGTCGAGTACTCGAGAACTCTCGAGAACTCTTGAAAACTGACTGACACTAACTGGGCCTTTTACACCCAAAAAAATGGTCGGCTTATATACTGGCCCCGGTGGGAGGTACATTTGGTCTTTGGGAACCTTACGAAATTCCAGCCATTTTATACTTTGGTGTGGGAACAAGTCAAGTTTCGGCATTCTTGGAGCCTTGCTGGAAGTACTGATTGATTGATGAAGGTGTTCAGTGTATCCTCGTAATCATGACGAACAGTCATGACATATCCTTTTAAGAAATGGATTTGAAGAGGAAATCTGAAGTAATATGAGGGCGTCCGGAAAGTTTCGAGAAAATTCAGTCGGTTTTCTATAACTACAACAGTAAAGCCAAGCTAGTGGTTCTTCTTATCCACAATGTCTCTTCATCAACCAGAAAGAGCACTGCGGCAGCTTCTGCAAAAAGAAGAGAAGCGCGATGCAATCCACTCATCTACTATCGACCTGACTTCCTGACCATGACTTCCCTCTAGAGCACCTCAATCCATATAGCTACCATCCTTTCAGTAGCCCACCTGAAGGTATGGTAGCTATATGGATTGAGGTCGGGTGATTATGTAAGGAGTGGAGTAGTTAGGTTATACTAAGCCTTTCCAGTTCATCCATTGACGTCCTCGCAAGGGGTTGTCGAGCATTCTCCATCACAATCAAGAATTTCCTTGCAATCGGTGTGAAATGGAGGCTCGAAACACCATCTCTCTCAGTTGTTAATAGAGTACTCTTGCGAGCAGTGCAATACATTCTGGTAGAATCTCTTAAACACCCCGTTGAGCAGAAGAAGAATGTTGAGCGCCTCGTTTTATAGCGAGCTGTGGCCTCACGCCCACTGGTAGACATTGCGATTTCCTGTATGGATCTACTTTCTATCCCAAGCAATAATGAAGTCGGTTGATGTCGTCGTTCGCTTACAGTCGACTAGCTCCTGACACACTGACTCGCACTGGAGCTCCAGCTCAATCAATGGTTACACGATACTGCAAAAGGTCCCACTTTGGAAGAGACTTTTGCGTAGAACGCCTTGGACGATGGATTGGGCAGTAGAGATCGTCTCTTCAATTTTCTGACACCTAGGGGAGGATTGCTCCGACGGGAGACCAGAACAGTGTCGGTATTTGAGGACAGTGGACGTCCACTTCACGTAATTTGTCGAAGCAGATCTTCTCAGAGGAAACGATCGTGCCATTTATGGTAGGTGACATGAGGGGGTGCAGTGCTGCCCATTAGTCACCATACTCCCTCCAAGTCTGAGCGTCGAAGCGATCAGTTTCGTAATCGTGAAACAGAAGGCTCCGGTAGTAATATCGATGGCACATACATAGTTCGGTTTGGATTACTTCCATCGAACGACCACATCAAATACCGATCAGATATACTAGCACTGATCTATCAAAAATGTCCTTCCGCTGCTATCGAATCGATAGTCCTTCTTGAGCGTGTTAAGGAGCAACATGTTTTCACTGTTGAGGGCAAATTTCCTCAAAACGTCCTGGACACCCTAATAACACAGTCTGGTGCATATATGGGAAGAAGTTTATTTGTTACAAATATTCTATTAAGGATAATCTCAGTCTACATTGACAAAATCTCTAAAGTCAACAGGAAGATCACTAGTGACCAGCATAGCGATACTCATTATTCACTTTAGTACTTTGTTCACTATACAGGACAATGCACTTTACCAACTCATTCGTCCATTAACCCCAAACCGCTGATTAGCTTCACGGGAAGGTAGCACTGATTGCGGTTCTCCTAGTGAATAGGCGTAACGAGGCGTATTTGTCATTTTATCTTGTAGTTCTACAAGTTCCAATAATTTCAATTTGTCACACTTTACTCACAGGAAATTGAAGGTGAATGAATATCCCTTTTTGATAAGGCCGTTATCGATGTAAAGGGTATTGCTATTCACAGATCGTTTTATTATTGCCATAAGAATTTTCATGGGCATTTGAAATGGGGAGATATGTCACGGATAGTCAAGGGTCAGAAGCCATATCTTTGCGGATGGCGTGCTCATATTACGATTGTGAATATAGAGCACGTAAAACGAATGCTGGCTGAAATTCCCAGCACTTGTATGATGATTGGTATGCAACAAAACCTAATGTAGGCGAGTTTCTTTCTCCTTTCTCTCCCAGCACTGATCTCCCGTCGTCGCACGGTCGCGGTTATTAGTGCTAGGGTTGATTCTCGCTGTTTCCTTTTATCTACAACACCCTTTGTCGTTACCCTGGTTATGACAGAATCTTTCTCGATTACGTCTCACCAACACCTCTTTGGGGCTCTTCTATGCTGCTTCGCTCAAGCTCCCATTGCTTTTCTTATCGGCTTATCCGATAACCATCTCATTACTTGTTCATATCATCATAGACCGTGCTCTCTCATCTTCAGCTGGACAGGGGCTGTTTGCGTCGTAGTCACAACACCTTCGTTTCAGACCCAATAAGCCGCATCCAACCATAGGCCTACCTAAGCATCTTCATCTCCGCTAAGTGAAGATACTTCCCATGAACCTTGCCTACGGGTAAGCACTCGCTGCTGTAGAGCATCGCGGGCCTCGTCACTATTCACTTCCACTTGAGTGTCATGGAGCACTCGGTCGCAAAAGAGAGCAGTGGTCTTTCTCTACTTCACACATAGCGCGTTTTTCCAGGCCTTTACAGCTTCGTTCATGGTACCTTCAGCAGCCATGTCAATCCTCAAATACTGAAAGTCCTGCACTCCTTCGATAGTTCATCCAATGCAATCTACGATTGGCTCTGCGCGCTCTACCAAACCGTTGAACTTGGTCTTCTTCACATTGAGATGCAATTGAATGTGCGGCAAGACGTTCTGCTATCTCTTAGGCTTGTCCTGGATTTCTTCTCTACAATAGGATGGATACCGTCACCATAAAGGAATGTTTTAAGAAAATCATCCTTGAATTCTTTCGTGATCGTAGTTTAAAGAGGAATGTGTTTAGCGCTGGTCATTGATGAATCCAAATCCTGACCTTCGCTTAGATCGCTCCATATAAGCCGTGATGGATGCTGATGATTACTTAGACCTATCGTTCAATCATGTCCTTGACCATAGGGATCAGGTACTCTGGAACGTTTCTTTCATGAGTTGTTTCTTTCCAGAGGATTAGTCGTGGCAAAGTCGAGGGCCTTTTCCAGATCGAGGAAAGTAAAGTAGCGAGGTCGCTCATTCACTTTAAGGCATCAGTAGTCTACCTAATCCCACGCTAAATGGGAAACCGCGTCGCATCACCTCTTTGCTTGAACTCGTAACGACAGAACTGCTTCTCCTTGCGTCTGAACTCCTTCTCTCGCCAATCATAGTGTTCAGGAACCGGATGAGCCACTCAATCCCGTGCCCTCC